CCTTAGGCTGTATTCTAGCCACTAAAATAAATGACAATTTGAGGTGCTTAAAGAGTGCAGAAAGCAAGCCTATATTCACAAAAGCTGCTAATGCGCTTACCTCCTCAAAGCGAGCATGCTGTACTTGAATGAGCGTGTGCGCTGAAACGGCACGTGCTTTGCACACACCCCACTCCACAAATATCAGCATAAATGCAAATGTTGGAATAATGACTTATTTGTCCCCAATCCAAATGCTGTTCTTTGCATTTCTACAGGAAGATTTATAACGGGGTGACACATTCCTTACACTTTTTGCTAGTTAAGGCCTGGTTCTCTGCTGTCTTACTCCACATCATCTTTTATACTAATGCAAAGTAGGTGCAAAATGCTGCCAGGTAAAGAGAAAGATAAATTTCACTGGCACTAGCCAATAACGCAGTGCTCACAATGCAGGAGTATGAGCTTGTGTGATGTTGGATGTCAGGTGGTAAAATCAATATATATGCGTCTAGCTAAATTCTGGCCCACAGACGGCACTAGAAGCAACCTTTTGAACCCAGGCAGATCAAGTCCATTCAAATCAAGGCAACATAAGTCTTTCATCCCTAGGCAATGTTGAACACTGAATATTATTTGCCCACTTAGCTAGAAATACTGTTACTGGAAAAATGCTAATGATTACAAATCTGCCCAAAGACGCATGATTGTGCAAGGAAAATATACTGAGTGTCAAACATTTCAGTGAGACATTGGGAAGTATTATCTATACATCTTCCACATTTATTTTCCCCAGGTCAGTGGGGTTGGATACAATGGGAAAGGGAGTGTATGCCTCTTACCATCCAAGGAAGTCTTAAAGGAATTTTCCAATGTCTCCGTAGGAAAGCTAGTAGAGGTAAGTGTAAAGTGTGTGAACCAAGCCACTGTCTTTACATTCAGGTATAATTTAGGATGCTCTCCTCATATGAATGAATGTGACAAACTTGGGAAGAGCAGCATGTAAATCAAATAAATAAATAATGAACATTTCCTTGCTCTCCCAAGGCAAGTCCCAAAGGGGTTTTGGGTAATGATTGTCTCCAGCATAGCCCTGATTGACAGCAGGTGACAATCACAAGTAGTATCTAGGGAGAAGCCTGAATCATTAACTTGAAGAAATACTTTACAGTTGCAGATGAAAGCTTGTGCATTGGTGATGCGTAAAGAGATGTATTAGGTTTGGGATTTTCAAGTACGTTTTAGAAGGTTTCCAAACTTCAGCCAGTTAGCTAGGCAGTTTCTCTAGTGAGAGCAAACATATGGGAAGGAATTGATATGGCAAGTTTTGAAGAGACATCTGTGCAACTTTACACACTCATGAGTTGCATGCTGCTACCAGCTATTTGCTTGTGCAAGGTGAAACGCATATAGTGTGGGCTCGATCCCTACCCACCCCTCAGATTTGCTTTGTGTTTTAGAGCAGTTATCATTAGGGATTGCTTCTCCATGTCTGATTGGCTGAGATGATCCAAAAAGCAGGGGAAAGTAAAAAGACATCATCAAAAATTTTCCAAAATTTGAAATTTCACCAACGCTAAATCATGTTGCCCAATTCTACCAGTACCGAAAGTGCAGCAGCTGATCTCGAGGGAAGGTGCTGCTAGTTTGGACCAAAATCTTCTGAAGTGTCCATGCCATTGATCAGACAAGGTTCTTTGGGTGAATCTGATATCTTTTATTAGACCAACTTAAATGGTTGGAAAACAATTATTAAGCAAGCTACACCCCTGTGCCATTGATCCACACTCAACCTTCAGCCTTTAGGCAAATCCCGAACATGAGTCTTAATGTGTCTGGGGTCTGATTGCCACCACATCCTTAATGTAGGCTCTACCTGATGCGAATCAAAGGTTGCCCCAGTATGGAGATGATTGATCTGCCCTGTTCTGGTTGTTCCTCAGTATAATGAAAAGTATAGTATTTGATACTGAGAAACTAATGTGTGCGAATGTGTCATTTTTAGGCTGGCTGTATAGCCAATAATGCTATTATTCGAAAAAATATTGTGATGGGTCAGCCAACCGAAGGAGCCCTCGTCGCTCTTGCTATGAAGGTAGGATTTTGAGCGTGGGTTTGTCTTTTGCAGATTTCTTCACATTAGGATCATGATTTATGTCATTAGTAAAATAACAGATTTCTTATGAGTGCTGTGAAGAGAGAGAGAGAGAGAATGGGATCCTTTATTATCCCAGAAATTCTCCCCAAAAAGGGGATGGGAGGAGATTAAATGGGGTAAAATTCATAGAACATTATCGATTGTAGTTAGCAATTGAACAGATGGATTTCAAGACCCTGTCACTGTGTTTTTGATCCTTATTTTAAGTGTCTTCTCTTTTCTATTCCAACTCACATCCATGCATACCTTATGCAGCTGACCAATACATCCACACACTGTGTTCCAGTGACAAAATAATAACAGCCTTGCCTGATTGCTCTAGGTAATTACTCTGCACAATGGATTTCTTTGGGGTTGAACCAGGCTGGCTTTCAGTTGTCCTGCAAAAAGCAGAAAGAAAATGAACAGCCACCAGACAAATTAGAGGCAACGGCATGGGGTCTTCCTGTAGCTTGATCACCCGTTAGTTTCCGACCTATTTTCTCGCAAAAGTGTAAAAACAAGGCATTCTGCTGAATGTCCTATTGATGATCTTGCAAAGAGTGCAGAGAGCTGTCCAGAGCCAGACTTGATTTGTACAGCTGTACAAACGCTACCACTGTGGCTTGAAAACACAAGAGTTGAGTGAGCGTTCAAGTGCAGTCAACCAGGATAGCAGGAAACACGCCCTAAAAGGCAACCTTCAGAATGAATATCACTGTTTCAAGGAAGGGCATGCAGCTCATTTTTCTATTCTACATGATATTCAGCTTGTGTTTAAGTTTCGACTAGTCACACTGCACAGCTGAAGGAGGTTTTGGCAATAACTTCCTTTGTCTGCTTCATTTTCAGGAAACAAATTAACACGTATACAGCGATAGCTTATCCAGCCCATTATTTGACATCTCCCTTTCCTTTGCGGTGAATTGGGTATGAGATAACAGAAGTACAGGGTGCGTCTACACGTGCACAGTTACTGTGCAGTAACTTAGGTTACTGCACAGTAACCAAAAATTACTGTGCAGTACAGGCACATGTCTACATGTGCACATCTGTGCTGTGTGGTAACTATGGTGACTTACGCCTATTTGGGTGTAAATTTACTACCTGCATGATGCAGGTAGCAAATTAACGCCTGAGTAGTTACTGCACAATAAGGTAAATGTAGACGCCTTACTGCGCAGTAACCCTATGCATGCGGACTGACTTGGCACTAACTTTAGTGTTACTTTAATGTTCCTGCACTGTAATGCCTGCATGTGTAGATGCCGACATAAAAAACACTTACTGCGCAGTAAGTTACTGTGCAGTAAATGCACATGTAGACACGCCCACAGGCTTAGAGTTTAAGATCAATACCAGGAGTCAAGACATTGTTTTCTTTCTAGCTCATTCACCGTTCTAGTGGCCTCCATTTTCAGGATGTCCGGTGTATGTCTCAGGGAAGCTATGTTCACAACAGGGTCTTAGATTGGATGCCCACTATGAGCAGACGCTTATGGAAGGCTTTAATCTTTCTGTGCTTCTTTGTCCTCGGCTATAAAACACACTGTGTAGAGATATGTGCTAATAGACCAATGTTTGTGTATAAAGGGGCTGTGTAGGATGCCTGCAAACAGCTGGCTTTGTTCAGGGTTACAACAACCTATTTGTTTCCTTTATTTCAGATGGAATTAAATGATATAAAAGATATTTATGTAAGAAGGAAGGAAATCCCATTTAGCTCCGAACAAAAGTGGATGGCAGTAAAATGTTTATTGAAAAATCAGGTATAACCAGTTCTGCTTACTGGTTTTATGTTTCTAATTGCATGTATGAACAGTGCAATGAATAGAAGTCTCATAGGGATAGGCACAGAAAGTCTTTCATATACTGGTAAATGGTGTGTTTTAAAATGTTGTCAGGACTACTGGTCAGAAAATGCCAAAACTGGCAATTGCAATGATATTTGACCTGCAAATTCTAAATATCAGAGAGTAACAGGATGATTTTCAATGGATTTTTTTTTTTAAGAAAAAAGTCATCCTTCTGGTCAACCAGCTATAAACTGGTCAATGAACTTTTTCATTAAAATTCAGTGGTAATACTATAGCAACTTTTTAAATGAAAATGTAAATCTCCTTTCCCCACCCTCCACCTTTAACTTGAGCGTGCACTCACATTATTCTCTAGTTTTAAAAAGAACAGCGCCTTTGCTACCAGATCCCCCATGTCTGGGTATATCCTTGTGCAATGTGGAAAATAACCACAGCATAAATATTGCATTCTCTAAGGGCACCTATACATGTGCAGTGAGGCTGCTTCAACGCACTGTAATTACAGTGCATCACAGCAGACTCGATTAATCAAGTCTGCAGGAGCCTGGTAATTTCTGTGCTCCAGCAGACTCCAGTGTCACGTGTATTAGCATCCATGCACTGAAAAATAGTAGCAGGGGTGCTTTAACTAAAGCTTGTTCAATGAGCTTTAGTTAAAGCGCCCCTGCCACCGTTTTTTAGCATGGGGACCCTGATGCACAAGGCACTCTAGGTGCTTTAATTAAAGTGTCCCCTCCCCAACTCCCAAAGCATGTTTATAAATGCCCTAAAACACTACCCGATCATAAAAAAAACAAGCATGCCTGTATCTAGGAGGCAAATCATTTAACAGGCAATACTTTTTATATGTTAAAAGGAACAGGAAGAAATTTACTTTATGAAGGGAGCCTTTGAAGAAGTGATTCGCTATTGTACCATGTATAACAGTGGGGGTATCTCGGTGCTACTTACACCACAGCAGAAAGCCATCTATGTCCAGGAGGAGAAAAGAATGGGATCGTTAGGCCTGAGAGGTCAGTGGTTACTACGGCCATTAAAACCTATGTCAACACCTGTTCATTTCTCTAGTGAATCGTGGAGTAGCTTCAGATAAAGCAGCACCAAGCACATCTCTAATGAATCCTCCTCCCATCCCCTCCTACCTTGACTGATTTATTTCTTCCTTGCCCTGCCACATTTTGGAGCAAGCCATGCATCTACTCATGTCCAACCTGCCCCTGCATGTTTAGCCAGGGCGAGATCTGGCCGGCTGTAAAGCAGCAGGTGCAAATTGTTGCTGGGGCAGCAAACAATATCAAATGTTTTGATTATATGAAATATAATATGAAATAATATCCAAAGTCCAGCCATGGAGCCCATCGGAGACCCAGAGGATGGTATCTTGGGCTAAGGAAATGAGCAGGACCAGGATGTCCTGCTTTCCAATTCCAGCTCTACAATGACTCTCTGGTTGGCTTTAAGAGAGTCCTAACCCCCAGCTTCTTCAGATCTTACATTCAAAATGTGGGCATGAATACTTCAGCCCCTATCAAGGAGAAGAGGTGTTGGGGGTCATTACCGTGGCACGTGTCAGGTATCCTCAGTCACACCAGTAACTGCTGCCTGATGTCTTTTTATACTCGCCGGCTTTTGCCAAAGGGCTTGTCCTTGTTTTTCTTCTAATCATTCATCGGTGATTTGAATCAGTGAAATGCAGAGGAACTGAAGGCAGGGGCCTGCACATTCCTCCTCCGTGAATGACTTCATTTATCTGAGATACCGTCTGCCGATTTCATTAACGAGACAAACCCTGAATGTTGCAGTCACATCTGCGACCAAGCTTCACCTTCAGAGAAGCTTTATCACCAGCCACACAGAGCATATTTGGGCTTTGACTTTGGCACCAGATTTGTCATGTGGGGTTGGTCTGGCTCCATATTTGTAAAGAGAAAGGTAGATCTTGCTCCGAGTTTGACTCTTACTTGGCTTCAGCACGTGACTTGCAAAGTGCGGTGGCAGCACACATGAAGAAGAGCTTGCCCAGTGGCATGAAGCCATCAATTATTCAGTGGGTCTCGGTGGCCTGGCATCATTACCCCTTCTGCCTTCCCATGTATATGCCTCCAGCCCCTTTGTACTAACCTTAATGCACAGTATAGATTCACATCTGGAAGCTGATGGGGACTAACTGGGTCTCTGTGCCTTCTTTGCTTTCTCTTTAGTCCTTGCCTTGGCTTCAGGTCCAGAACTTGGCAGACTGACATTTTTAGGCCTGGTTGGAATAATTGACCCTCCAAGAGCTGGAGTGAAGGAAGCAGTCCAGGTCCTGTTTGAGTCAGGGGTATCGGTGAAGATGGTGACGGGAGATGCCTTCGAAACGGCTATGGCCATTGGTAATAAATTAGCTATCTTCCCATTGCCCAGCTCTCAGATCCATGTCAAATCTGATGTATTTATTGAGTTGTATAAAGGTCATTTTGTCCATTTGCTGTCCTTTTCATTTGCCGCAGTATATATTTTAGTCTCAATGTGGAGTACACTTGTTGCTTGTCTATTGGAACAAATCTAGCTAAATACTGTGATTAAATAGATATTTATATAAGGCATTATAGCTCTATTTCCAGGACTATAAAATATGCTGTGGTGGCACTGCCAATGATACCAAAATTACTTCTTCTATGGTGAAATAAATGAGAAGTGAATGGCATCATTGGGATTTTGGACTCTTACGTTCTATTCACATGCAAATATCTTTGCATTCCCGCTTACTGGACCTAGGGCTTGCAGTTTGCTGTTGGAAATAACTGTGCAATCAGTAGAAAAGAAAGGGCCGTAGCCTCAGCTAGCTTCACTTGGAGCAGCTTTGCTGAAGTCTAGTGGAGCTTTACTGGCTGTCACCATCTGAAGACACGGCCAAAAGGTTTTATACTTAGTTAAGCATGATTATTCTTTCTCTACTGTACATTTGGAGATTAATCCATTGCAGCATGTCAAAAGATTTTAGCTGCTACCTGGCTTTTACCCCAAGAAAAGCATTAGGAGGAGGCTGAACTTGGAAGCGTGAAGTTTCCGCTCCTTTCTGCACATTATTCGCCTTGTAAAATCAAATGATCCCGGGTGAACATGCATATTCGTTTTGGGACCCATCCTGAGCATCTTACTCCGCACTCAAGCAAAACTGCCTTTGAGTGAGGAGGGTGTGATCATCCTGTCGTAGACCTGGAGAGATTTCTTTCGTCTCCAGAGGTGACACAGCTCATCATCGTTTGTCCTGAGCCTCTTAAAAGGCTGCTTGTTTTGTTGCCAATGAGAAAATAAGTAGCCTTTCCTGGTGAGGAAGGATGAATTTTCTGCTGGGTTTTCATTGCAGGGCGGAGCATTGGGCTCTGCAATGGGAAGCTGAAAGCCATGTCTGGGGAAGAGCTGGAACAACTGGCAGAGTCAGAGCTATCGTCCACGGTCAAACAAGTAAGGGTGTTGCAACCAATTGCAGAGACGCTGTATCGTTCTAGTTAATGTAGCCTCTGTCTTAATATATTTCTCCTTTCTGTCTTCATCCCCCAGGTTTCCATCTTCTTCAGAACAAGTCCAAAGCACAAACTAAAAATCATAAAGGTACAACTTTCCTCCCAACCCTGTGCTTTCAAAGGGGGACCTAGATTTCTCTCACCCACATCAGTAGAGAGTCCCCTTCTGAACAGGATTGGGCTCCTTGAGAGAGAGAAGTTAAAATACAGCCATAATTACACACGCAGCATATTCAAGTATTTCCTGCTCCTCCTGTGCACCCACGTTGAGTTGCGAGTGCTAAGCATTTCTGCAAATCTAGGCTGTATTGGAAATGAAAATCCTTTTCCTGTGCACTACACAGATCACTCTGCACAGTTCTGAGCTGCTGAAGTTCGTTGTCTTATCTGAGGTGTGCAGCTCCCCTCTTCCTATGAAGCACAAATTGCAAATGGCATACTTGCTGCGGGCCTTGTTTCTATATGTTCATAGTTTCATAGTTCTTAGGGACTGGAAGGGACCCATATGAAGGAGGCATCCTTCCAGCTAAGCAGTCATTCATTTTTTCCCTTTACCCAGGCTTTGCAAAAGGCTGGTGCCATTGTGGCAATGACAGGGGATGGGGTAAATGATGCGGTGGCCCTCAAATCTGCCGATATTGGGATTGCAATGGGACAAGCAGGCACCGATGTCAGCAAAGAGGCTGCCAACATGATCCTAGTGGACGACGATTTCTCAACTATCATGTAGGTAGAACGTCGGATGCTTTCCTGACAGCAAATGTCATGAGTGTTTATGTGACCTAGTACGGAGACTATTTTAAGGGCCGTGTCATAAGGTGGCGCAACATACCTTGCAGTCCAGGAAGCAATGTCTATCTGACCTAACCACAGGTTTGGGTTATGGTTTCTTTGCCATCCCCAAATACAGTGATAACTTGGGTATTTCAAGTGTTTCAGCGGGGTGGTTCTTGTGAATCCCACCTTTCACCAAGACAGGTTGGTCGCTGTTAGTGGTTTGAGGGTGAAAGGAGGAGCTTGAAGGCCCAGTGAAGAAGGTGGGGGATCCTGTTCCTTGCTCCATTTGCATCATCCAGGATGCAAAGAGGAAGGATGCTTGTGCCTTTCAAAGCATGGTGAGTTCCCAAGAACAGAACCAGCTGGCAGAGCAGGCAGAACAATTTAAAATGCCACATGGACACGTCTCATCTACTAGTCTTGACAGAGCCCCTTCAGCCAAATGCGGGGAGGAAGGATGGGCTAGTGGTAAAGATGCTAGCCTGAAAACTTGAGGACCCAACTTCCCTGCCCTGCCCCTGACATCCCGTATAACCCTGAGCCAGTTACTTACTCCCCCTCTGAGACCCATGGAGGACGTGTGCTTACTGCAGGTTCCCAGTGACCTGTAACTCCTTGGTGCAGTTCCTCTGATACCATTGGCACCAACATCATGCTTGGACAATAGATACAGGATACATGGCCCCTGTCTCATTAGATGTATCCCAAACTAGCATTTGAATTTCCATTAAATAAAGGGTGGGAGAAGGGCATATTGAAGGAGGTTATAGCATTGCCTGTAAAGTTTCAAAATTGTTTGCTAGATAGGAAGTAGCATTAGGATCCATCAGTCTCTACATTCTCATATCTCTTCCTTCCAGGAACGCCATAGAGGAGGGAAAGGGAATATTTTACAATATAAAAAATTTTGTCCGCTTCCAGCTCAGCACGTAAGTACATATTAGCTCTAACTCTAGTGCCGAGCAGCAATTTGACTAGCTAGACTCTCTGGAATAATATTCTGCTATTTCTACACTATGTCCTTTGCAGGAGCATTTCAGCTTTGAGCTTAATTACTCTGTCAACAGTATTCAATTTACCAAATCCACTCAACGCCATGCAGATCTTATGGATCAATATCATTATGGATGGACCTCCGGCTCAAAGGTAATGAAAGACACGCAGGGGCAAAAGTTGTCTTGCAGTCCATGCATGCAATTCCATTGACTTTCACGGTGGTAAGAAAGTTGAATTTGATCTTAAAATTGTAGAAGCTGTCTTGATTCTTTAAAGAAGTGTAAATCTTTTTAGGAATCTATCGACCTTCAATAATTTTTTTCCAGCTCTGCTTGTTCTCATTCCTGGCTTTATTGCATTTACTTTACAGGGGTTTTTTTTATAAATAGCAAGTTTTAATTACGTTTGAAAGGTTTGATTATGGTTGAGAGTTTTAATTACGTTATATTTAGGACAAATACGAAGTAGAAGCTTAATCAGATTCTTCAGATCACATGTCTGAGTGATATTGCAAATGCAAAAAAACAGTTTAATAGCTACCTGGCTACAAGTCTATGTACCATTTGGCATCTAATGCAAATGTGTATGCAAAATCCTAAGCATTTGAGCCTATTATGCTTGGTGGGCTGAAAGGGTAATGGCTGCTGAACTGGATTATTGTTCCCAACACATCTATTGTGATTGTTACCAAGCTCCCTATGTCTAGTCCCAGCCCTTCCCAAACTCTCCAAGAGCATCTACCCCAAGACCCGAGCTTCTACTGTATGTCTGTCTTGGGGTTGAATCTCCAAATTCTTCCACTCTTGGACCAGGAATGAGTCTGCTATGCCCCATATATTATTGGAGAATGGTTACCCGCTTTACTTCCTTCTGGGAATCTGTGTTCAGGGAGACCGAAACCACCAGCTTTCTTGCAACAAAACGTTTGTATTTATCTGTTGGAAAAAAGCCTTCATGCCTAGGGTATCAGTAGTCTTGTACAAGGGTCTGAATCATCTGATAATCTAGCACATCACTGTAGAGGCCCAATACATAAATCACATTGCGGGGTTAAAATAATCCCAGCACAGCTCTCCTGCATTTCTTGCATTCCTCACAACCGAGGCAAAATGGCATCACATTAGTGCAAGCACTAATGATCCTACAGCTTTGTCTCTCCAGTGAGCAATGGATTCAACCCCCTAGGATTCTGGCTCCATTCCACAGCAGGGGGGGAAAAGTGGAGCAAATGAACTGGTCTGTATTAATTACACGTGATTTGTGTTTGAGACAGCTTGGGAGTCGAACCGGTTGATAAAGATGCCATCAAACACCCTCCCCGGAGTATTACAGGCACAATACTCAGCAGGGCGCTCATCCTGAAAATCTTCATGTCTGCTATCATCATCATCAGTGGAACCCTCTTTGTCTTTTGGAAAGAGGTGAGAAATGCCTCTAGTCCATCCTGTTTTCACTGGCACCGAGAACTAATATCTATCTATATCTAGGATAGCTAGTTTGCTAGAATTAACATTGAAGACAATTGTCTAGGAAGGCAGGCTATTCAGTATAGAGCACTTGGTCAGGGTGCATGTCAGGACACCTGGGTTGGACTCTCAAATCAACCACTCATGTGCTTTCTCCACCGCTTAAATACCGATTTTTCCCATCTATAATAGATAATCATCATTAAAGTAGTCACAGGTTCCTTGATATCTAGAGGTCAAAAGCACCCTGTAAGCATTTTGAATTCCTGTTATTAAACCAGTATTGCTGAAAGGTTTTAGCTTCTGATTTTATACCATAAAGTTCAAATACCATGTAATAATACCGACTTTTTTGCCCACTTTCTCAGCTGCATGCAAAGCCAGGCAAGTAAATATATAGTGAGTTTATACGTTTTTATTATATACATGATTATTAAACTAGCATAATTATCTCTGCATCAAATTGCCATAAACCACCCCATGTGGCACTTGTTATACCTTTTAAAGCTGGGAATGTGTCACTCTGCAAATTAATCCTAATGTCCATGTTCAGTAATAAGATTAAATGAGATTACTGAAAAAATGTAAAAATACAACACATGATCCTTAAATGAGAGGATTTAAGATGCTGGGTTTGGAGCACACGCTATCTGTAAAATACTTCTGTAGTCCCTTGCTAATTGGATGGAACTAATTAGCAAATTGTCTTGATCTTTGATCAGAATTCATCCACTTGGCTAAGAATTTAAGAGATGAAATGATTTGATTGTAAGCACAGTGCTGGTGTGAAGACTAAGTGACAAGTGTCCCTGGAACCAGACTGCTTTGTCTCTGTAATGGCTTGGATTGCAAGCTGATTGTGACTTTTTACACAGCGGCATTACAGACTGCACTCATAGATTCATAGATTCATATTCATCGACGTTAGGGCTGGAAGGGACCTCGGAAGATCATCGAGTCCAGCCCCCTGCCCCAGGGCAGGAAGTCATCAGGGGTCATAGGATCCCAGCAAGATAAATATCCAAATGTTCTGTGAGTGCATTTTTGCACGGCTCAAAAGGCTATTTTTAACGAGTCTTCATTTCACATGTGTTTCCAGAATCCCGAAAGTGGTATAACCCCCCGAACCACAACAATGACGTTCACTTGTTTTGTGTTTTTCGATCTCTTCAATGCCTTGACGTGCCGGTCTCAGGTGAGGTGATGGACACCTGGCAACCTATTTGGTCTTTAGTTGGGAGCTGAAATGCATGCTTGACCTTCCTGCTAAGACAAACTATTCAGAAACAGGGAAGGGACACATTTCTTTCACTGTAATTTGGAGGAGCTCTATTTGATCATGCGATCAAAAAAAAAGGAACCAGGTTTGCTTAATTACGACAACGGCCGCGTGTAACGAATCGACACCTGTCCAAATGATGATTAATGTTGCAAAGCGCCGCTGAGTTCACCTGTGTGCAGACACTGGGAAAGGTTTACATTTCTTTCCTTTTTTTCCAGACGAAGTTGATATTTGAGGTAGGATTTTTCCGGAATCGCATGTTCTTGTACTCCGTCCTGGGGTCGCTTCTAGGGCAAATGGCTGTGGTGTACATTCCTCCCTTACAAAAGATCTTCCAAACAGAGAGTTTAGGAGCATTAGGTAAGTTCATAAGGCAATAGCAACAATGACATTATGTATTTAACTGCTTAAGATGACTGTGAGATTTGCTAGAGTGGATTTGACTGCTGAGGGCATGTCAACTAGGGAGCGCTGTCCTGAACTGCTCCACACAAGCCACCGCACAAACTTGAACGAGTGTGGCCAGGTTAGCATGCTACTGAGCATGTGTTGTAATTAGCTCCCCTAAAAGGCAGAGCTTATGGGCACATACCGGTTCTGGACACAAAGGCGCGTCTACACATTCATGAATGCACCTTAGATACTGTGCATTTAGTTTAGTACTTGCTTAATAAAGTACTAAACTAAATGCGCAGTAACTAGAGTTACTGTGCAGTAGTGCCGGCGCACGGTTATCTTGTGACGCTTACTGTGCATTAGCCTATTAACACTATGCAGGATGCTATTAGCACGGTTTTTAACCGCCACGTTACCGCACAGCGTTATTAGGCTAATGCACGCTAAGTGTCTCGTGTAGACGCGCCCAAGGTGTGTCGGGTGTCATAGTGCAATGCCCCATCCTGTCACATTGAGTTGATAGAGATGTGCCCTGAGCTACTTAATACAGGTCCAGCCACTATATGATGGCTCAGAAGAAGGGGAGAAAAAATGAATAAAAATGTAGTCAGCCTGCTGTTGTGTGCACTGATGGGAAGGGGGCAATTCTTTCTTATAGAAGGTCAGTTTGACTAATTTTTTAAATCAAATGCAAATGTTAGTGTTAATTATATTATAAATCACGTCCTCCTATTATCCAGGCTAAATATGACAGCATGAGTATATAAAGTGTTTCTTTGTGGCTAGTACGTTGACTTCTGTCTTCATTAAAGAAACTGAACTAATGGATAGTTACACCATTACGACACCCTGTTGTTAGACAGTGCTCTTCTTCAATTTGGTGTATGGCTTGCTATCAGATTAAGTCATAGCAATATGAACCATGCTTTTCAACAGTGTGTTGTATCGATATTGGGAGGCTGCGCATGCATCCATGTAGTGACATGTAGAGGTGTAAGTGCATCCATGTATTGACATCTTTACGAATTTCTCTAATGGAGTCGGGGCCTTACTTGAGCGCTCTTCCAAGCACAAAATCCATCTGACCCATCGGGTTGCACTCTGTCCCCTGCTCTGTTGACAGATCTGTTGTTTCTCGCTGGATTGGCTTCCTCGGTTTTTATTGTGTCTGAGCTCATCAAGCTCTGCGAAAAACGCTGCTGTAGAACAAAGCAAGTGAGGCGTCACCCTGCGGCGTGATGGACAAGAGACTTCTATGAAGAACGTCCTTTGAACAAAGCTGTGACGTTTTGTAATCCAGACGTGTCATTTTGTGCCTATGCAAATCCCCTTCGGATACCTCGTCCCTGGATAGGCCTTCCCACACCGGATTACATCCCTGTCCTGTTCTTCATCAACGTCATTTCAGCTTTCCGTAGGAGGCTTCCAAGCTGCCACCGGGCACCCAGCATTATGTATATTTTCATAACACATTGATCTGTATTGTTTTATCCGAAACAATCACTCTGGGTCACGTGGCTATGCACCCAGACTGAAAAATCAACTATGCATAAAAGGAAGTTTATTTATTTAAATCACAAGGACTTTTATTAATAAAATTGCGTGTTTCCAATGTTTTAAACACGAAGTTTCTGAGTAGACCTCAGACTGGCCTTGTTAAAAACAGAGGTTAACGCTTAAATAACAGCCAATTATTTTCTTTTTGCTTCCATGAAACCTTATCCCATCGCCTACAGTGAATGTTTATGGCACGTGGAGCCCAGATCAGCTGGCCTTAAGAAAATGCAGTTCATTCAGTTGGGTGTCTAGAGACCTGAAATGGGGGATGTGCTTGCTTTGCTCTCCACCGGTGAGCCAAGTCTCACTAGTTTCCCTCCAGGTGAGAAAATGCTTCCATTCCCAAAGCAAAGAAAGTGGTGGTGCAACCATCATCCCAACGGGGCATGATTACGTCCTGCTGACTCCCAGCTGGGGGGTTGGTAGTTGGTGTAATAACTTGTTCCCGATGGGGCTCTGAAGTGGGAGAGCACAGGCTCACTATGGCCTGGCCTGCCCGATCACGTCTGCCTCCACCATACACAATCATCATGGATGTCTCTCTTACCCACATCGCATTTGATAAGAGATTTAGGGCCCATTCCTACCGAATGCCATGGGGAAATTCCTACAAGTGCAGGGCTTTGCTCTGCGGGCAGGTTCCCGAATGAACTGCAGAGGCAACAGAGGATGTCTACATAGCGCCAGCTGTGGGACCAACCTGGATCGCTGTAATGAACTGACAAGCCAGGGGTACAGTGGTGAGCTGAATCCAGACAGCATGCATGTAAAGAGCATAATGCCTGTGAAAATGAGCTGGGATAAGCTTTGCCAATGGAGTGCTGACTACCTGAAAGTATGTAAGAGATGCTTTTAGGAGAAATGGAGTCCCAGCTACTGACGGAAATCTTGCTCGACCCTTCTTGTGCATAATTCTGCAGAGCTAGCTGCTCAGTCATTTCAAATCCTTTTCCTTTCAGCTAACTTCACCATATGGAAATGTTAGGCACAAAGCTGCAAACTCCCCAGCCCCATCAATGGCTTAGCTTGCTTCTCTTTCCCACCCCTTAAAGCTTCTTGAGAAGAAAAGCTGCTTGGGGCTAAAGACAGCAGGTGAAATCCATATGGGACTTAGGCACCTCGCTGCCTTTCTTCACTTCCTAAGTCCGATATTTAAGGATTGCACAACTCTGCTCAGCTACAGCCTAACCCTGTGTATCCCTAAAGCCCTTGGGACCCCAAATTTGACAGCCCCGTATTGATGCTGCTGAGCTTCTTGAAGCTCCTTTCTTCCTGTATATGATCTAATTTAGGGATAAAAAGTCTCTAGCCTGATTCTTCATAAAGTGCAGAACTTCACAGGAGTGAAGCAGCTATGCTGAGGTGCATTAGATGAGGATCAGGTTCAAAGCCTTGACAAAAGCTGCCCAACACTGATCTTTTCTGTGCTGCTGCACAGCAGTTCAGGGAAACATAAATCAGCTCTTCAAATCCTAAGTGTGAAGGTAAAGAACATTTCTGCAATTTACTGAACAGTTTTTAAAAAACCAGTAACTCCCATAACCATTGTTTGGTAGCATCAGCCTCTGTTTGTGCACACCATTAAATATTAACGAGCTCTTTGTGAATCTTGGGTTTTTAAATAAATTATAGCCTGCTTAGAAAGAGAAGTCTGTGGGTCAGGATAGACAACCCCCCTCTTCCCCTGGAAACACACTCCAGTAGAGAAATTACATGATGCCTTTTTCCAAGAAGGGACTCCAGAAATTCAGTGACCTATCTTCTCTGTCCCAGTCCATTTTGACAGCATATGAGACCTTGTTGTGTAGAAGCTACTGGGCTACATTAGTAGGAGCATTGCCAGCACATCAAGGAAGTGATTCTTGCTCTCTATTCTGCACTGGAGAGACCACATCTGGAGTCCTGTGTCCAGTTTTGGGCTCCCCACTACAGAAAGGATGTGGACAAGTTGGAGAGAGTCCAGTGGAGGGCAACAAAGATGGTTTGGGGACTGTGGCGCAAGACTTCTGAGAAGAGACTAAGGAAACTGGGCTGATTTAGTCTGGAGAAGAGAAAACAGAGGGGATTTAATAGCAGCCTTCAGCTCCCTGCAGGGGGGCTGCAAAGAGGATGGAGCTGAGCTGTTCTCAGTGGGGGCAGATGACAGGACAAGGAGCAATGGGCTCAAGCTGCAGCAAGGGAAGTTGAAGTTAGATATTAGGAAAAACTCTCTCACTAGGGTGTAATAAAGCACTGGAACAGGTTACCCAGGGAGGTTGTGGACTCTCCATTTTTGAAGGTTTTGAAGACCTGCGTAGACAAAGTCTCATCTGGGACGATCCAGTTGGGGCTGGTCCTGCTTGGAGCAGGGGGTTGGACTAGATGTGACCTCTTGAGGTCCCTTTTAGCTCTCATTTTTTATGATTCCATGAAAACTGCACAAGAATTGGGGGATTTGAGGAAGCAAAAGTTTAGGGGGAAAAAAAAGTGTAACAGAAAGGCCCATGCATGTATTCATTTATTTTCGACAGCATGTTTGTTACATCATCATTGAAAAGGATCAAGTAATCATTCAGAGGAGAAAATAATCATGTAAAAAGGGTTTCATAATTATTCAACAAGTTTTCAATGCGTTAAGGACTCTGGAGCCTCTCTTGATCACTTAGGGCACCTATACACCTGCCAGATGTCTGCTCCGATGCATGCTGATTAGCACGTGTCAGAGCAGACACTATTCTGCTGAAGCGTGTTAATTAACGCGCTCCAGCAGCCTCCGTGTCACGTCTATTCAGTGTCCCCACACTTCAAAATGGTGGCGAAGGTGCCTGAATTGAAGCTTGTCGAATGAGCTTTAGTTCAAGCACCCCCACTGCCATTTTGAAGAGTGGGATGCTGAATACACATGACACAGAAATTAAAGACTTTTAATTAAAGCAGCTATCAGAGCAGCTTTAGTTAATGCACTCTCTCCCCTCCATCCTGGAGCATATGTATAGACACCCGAAGGTATAGGTATGAGAATACTGGCTCAGGCCTGACACATCTATGTGTTTAACTAGACACCATATACACCATAACCATCATTATAGGTAGAATACAACATGTGTAGCTGATTACCAAGAGCAAGAGCTGGAGGGATCCATTCACATTCCCCTTTCCAGAACCATTACTTTTCACAGTATACATTGAAGGCACAAGTGCAGGCTAATTGAAACGGCCTACTTCAGCACCCTATACACAAGCACCATGGTAAAAGGTATATCAGAATATACTTTCAGGTTAGTGTTAGACCTAACTGGAGCCTATCTGTATCTACATATATACTGTTACAGGATGTTATTTGCACTAAGTTGTGGTAACAGTGAAAATTCAAGTCCCCTCTCTGACAACAGACAGTGGAATAGGAAGATTCTTTGAAACCATCTTTTTTACTAGGAAAAGGCATGCTCAATTATACGTATTAATCATGAGGACAAATACTGAGTTTCAATTCCCTGTTTCTTTACCTGGGATGGGATGGAATGGTCCCCAGTGCAAGTAGGTGTTATTAATTAGTTAATTACATAGTTGGAAAGTCAGCAATAGTCAAGCTACCAACGTACTGGTTGCTGGGACTGGAATCTAATACAAAAAGCCCTGAGTGTAACTACTCACCAACAGAGACAAGTGCAGTAAATAGAGAAACGAGGAAAAGTAGTGGTGTACTAGGAGTTAAGGTACTTTAAAAAAAAATATCCTGATTGTTAGTTTTTCTAAAACCAAAACCAGAGTATGAAAAAATTCTTTTTCCAGGCAATGCTAAACTTGAACCATTCAAGGCATCTGTGCAAGGCTTGTGACTTATCACTTCTTATGGCCTAACCCTGCACACCAGTTTTGGATGAGGCCACCAGTGAAGTCATTTTCCATGAGATGTGTCAATCTGTCCAATGGGAGTTATTCCTGAGTAAAAAGATTACAGGACTGGGTCAACTGGTTAGGAGTCCTGTGTTGCCAAATGGTTCTCTGACCTTTACATTTTGCTAAATGTAAAAGCAACAGGGCATATTCTATACCAACTCATGAATTAACTAGAACTCGAAACAAGTCACGTGTAACATAATTCAGTGCAATGCCAGAAACACTACATCCAGTGTTTCGTATTTCTGCATAAAATCCTGTACACTAGAACGTATCGAAAAGCTGGATTTTGAAACATTTTTTAAACTCTCTGTACACACAACAGTCCAATTCATCTTTTAGGGAAGATTCACTTAATTTGCTTTGTTACTGTAAATAACACACTGATGGACCTGATTTAATCTGCCAGAAATAAGTTTTCAGCTGAGGTATCAGAAGCTTGTTTGACATCTTTGAACAGCCTATATATAGTCCCAATTAATACTCCATGTCAATATGCAGCAGTGCTAATATTTGTTCTTAATTCTGCATGATGAGAGGAAGATGGGCCTACTAGGAGGGCTATCCAATTTATACAGCGCTACAACCAACACAGCATTAATAAAGGGCTTAATCAGCTATTTAAAATGCTGACTCTCCCCACACAAATAACCTACAGTCATGCCATCTTCCAGAACCTACATATTACATGCTCATACTTCATGCTACTTTCAGGAAATTATGCAAGTAGAAACAGAGGAGAAAATCTCCTGTCTGAGAAAATTTAGGTCTCCGAATCAGGTAGAATTTCCTGAGTCACAAGATCACTTCAATTATCATCGTCTTCCACCGGTGTTCGCAACCCTTCGCTCTGACGACTCTTCCCTGTCATTTCCAGCAAGGCCTGAGTCTCAGGGTCAGCATCAAGGACACTCTTCTTACCCTTTATCTGAAAGAAAATCACGAGGGCAATTTAAAAGGTAAATGGTGCCAGGTCACAAGTCAGTGGCCCTCAATCATATACAAGCTGATTGTTTGGTTTTACAGCCGTCTACAATGAAGGTGCGTGCTGTCCAAGCAAGGTGTCTACAAACAGAACAGATTCACCATGACATGCTAACAGCTCTGCACTGCCCCGGGAATGCAAGCCAGCCATAAAGCTGGCTGAAGGGGCCAGGTGAGCATTTATGGTTTATTTGGGTCACAAAGCAGCTGGAACAAACTGTTTAATCTGACCCAATAGTTCAGGTACAGACGGGAACATCGAAAAAGGTGATGCAAACACAGCCTGACAGGTCTTTCCTAAAAGACGGGCTCTGTTGCTGTTTGTAAGGCATGTGCCCATTGTATAATAGCAGCCATACGCCCACTGTTTAATGGAAGAGACACCTGCTACAGTAATCCTTTCTTCCCTTGATGCCTCCCTGTTCCAAGTGGCACCTACAGTGTCTGTTAACTTCTGAAGTGCAAATATTTTGCTGTCATGGCAATGAGTGCTTTGGAAATAAATGACAGGCTTTTTCACAATACACTTGACACTTGTTAGCAGCAATGTGTTGGTGGCCTGGGGCTATGTTGCATCTAAAGGGCTGATTCTCTTATACAGAGTAACACCGGAAGGCATGGTATGGAAAATATTTGTGATGAAATATTGCTGCTAAACCACAAGCTTGGGTACTACTAACAGATGTTGCTGCAATTAAGCATCAACCACATTGCTAAAAAGTAAGCACATTTGAAACCCCAACAGAAACATGTTCAGTATTATCCCATGTGCAGTTCTGTACATTTGCATTCATTTTGCCAGAATTCAGTCCGTTTCAGAGCTCAAATCAGAAATGAGACATCTCATGCTAACAAGTTCATAGCAACCATGCTGGCATCACAGCTGTTTGTGCATTAGCAGATACGAGTTACTCCAAACCCTGAATAAAGTACATTCATTGTATATCAATATCCACTCAGTTGTCTTTCTAGTATTTCTGGCTTGATTTTTACACTATGTTTTTTTCTACTTCAGCATTTCCTGCTGCTGCTTTCAGACATTATATTGACTTACCTCTTCAGTTTCTGGGACCTCTCCCACTGCCCACACTTCCATGGCATCTAGTGTAAAGTCTTCCTTAGCTGACAGCTGAGGACTGTTGTAGGTGGTACATCTAGATTTTGCTTTGCTGTGTCCCTTCCCATAGTCACAGTCTATCCAGAGCCCAAAGTACTCGTGCTGCCCACCCATGCCCTGTAAAGTAAATGAAACACTCACTAAATATATGTAAAATTAGAAACTGAGCTGTAAGTGGTAGCTTGTAAACCATTAGTTTCATCATCCTAACACTTCAAATGAAGTGTTTCAAGCAAGTCTGAATTGACATACATAAATCAAACACCTGTGGGTGCAACCCAAACATTATCTGTGCCATACACCCTTTGAACAGGGCTACAAGAAGCGGGGTACTCTGCAAACACATTAGTTGTTCCTTGCTTGGGAAACTGAACCCACTGAGTATTCTAACACCTGCCATCCGTTCCCTTTTTCAGTGAGGGGATGCTCATGTGAAGCCTTCTCCTAGAAGAAGTGAGTACAGTTTGATGTTGCTTTCACTAAAGCAAGAGTGAAATGAGTGATTCTGAGCTAACTGCTGACACCACGCTGATGTGTTTCATGGCAGAACATTTCCCTTACTGTTTACAGAAATGTGAACTCCACCATGGTGTGGCAGGCCGGTGGAGGGTCCTAGACATGGGGAACTTCTAGCGATGTAGCTGTAGGGTAACAGGCTCTACAATCTCTGGGCACCATTTGTACTGGGAGGCTCTGTGTATGAACCCAACATAAACCATCAGGCAGGGTGACACTGCCATCACACTAAAGATAGGTTGTCTGGATCTTCAATGTCTCGGGTCCAGTGGCTCCAATGCTCTTTAAATGATGTAGAGATAGGCAACCAGCTCTTTCAGCCAACAGCCAGAGCATGACAGCATACAGAGCGCTGGATGTCAGATTTGCACATTGTTCTCAACTTATGTGTAGGTTTTTACTCCTCAACTCCTCCAGAAATTTGATCTTCATAATTGATAATCATTTTGGTTAGATATATATGAAGAAAAATTTAAGCTAATCAATTCAGTGTGTTAGCATGAACTTCAACTAAAGTAAATAGGTGAATAGGCACCAATTCTACTACCACTATCCAGATACCACATTGGATGAAAACACGTTAAGATAAACGGTCCGTCTGTGAAAAGTCTCAAGCCAATATACCAGTGACAAGATGAACATCTCCCTTGAGAATCACAGCACATGAAATAAATGAGCTTGAAATAGCAGAAGCAAATTTACAAGACCCTTTAAGATACCAGCTGTGACTCTACTTTCCAATGTGTCATTTCTTAGTACTTACGAGTCCATTTGGCATAGTTTGCTGCCCATGATTCAGGTACATGTAGTGGTCATTGTATCCAGTGTACAAGTACATGGCAAGAGTCGGGAAAATGGAAAACAAGAAGCATCTGTTGTCACCTGCCAATTACAAGAGCATAAAGTATCAGAGACCAGATGAAGGGCAAGAACATGACTTGCCTACAAATATGATAGGTAAGAAGATCTTAAAAAGGCCCAGCTAAATAGATTCAGACAAGTACTGGCATGGCAGCAGAGCCAACGCCGATGTGTAAGCAAGGCATGTAGTTATATTGCTCAGTTGCACCCTTTGAGGCCTCTCTGAAATCAAAGGGAGTGCATGTCCATCAGTGTGGGAGGAATCTGAGGTCTCTCAGGGATCTCAGAGTACTACATATAAGCTAGTCTACTCCCAATACTTGCACCAGTTTACTCTGGATTGGTTCAGTAGACCCATACGCACATCCTGCTTCTGTCTACAATTGCACAGATGTCAGTTAGCTCAGCCTGGTGGGAGATGTGTATGTGCAAAAGGACTTTGCGAGGCCCTTACTTTCCAATGCTTTGCCCTTGTTGTTGTTTATACCTGTGCAAAGATGGTACAAAGTACGATCCACACAGCATGGTAGAATATTATATTTGCTACTCACTTTTCACGGGAGTCATCACACATATATAATGATATATTTATCACTGTGCAAAGAATATAGACTAAGGGGTAAATTAAAGCCAAGAACATTTTAGAAATTAGTCATATGCAATGCACTGAGTCAATCTATGTCTCAGGAAGTTTGTATTAGAACAGAAGAACTCTCAATTGTCTGTTGAGTCGGTGCAGTGTTGAATCACTGCAAAATTTTACTAGGATTATTAGACCTTGTGTTTCCAGCTTAGTGAGTTAAAACCACAAGTTAGAAAGTGTCTCTTGCAACATCAGATCCTGTTATCCTTCCTGCCACGACAGTTTATTGAATGCAAGCATTACAAATCTTTCGCAAAACTTCTCAGCAATTAAAATATGTACTAGTACATATGATAAGTAGCATTTGCAAATGAAATAACTTGACTATTTAAATCCTCCAATTCCTCTCCTCAGCATGCCCAAAGGCACCAATTAATACACTCAATTAAGCACTGCCACATTTAAAAACACTGGAATACTAGACACAAAGCAATCACATTGATATGCTACCTTGTGCATAGTTCTCCAGTGCTTTAATTTAAGAGCACCCCAAAGTTTGTCAATGAAAAAGCATAAATAAGTTAAGCAGCGTAAATTAAGCGGCATAAATAAGTCAGCATAAATTAAAGTTTTTAGTCAACAAGCTCCACACCACTGTATTTTTAAATTGAAAACCCTGACAAACAGTGTAGCAGAGTAAGCTGTACTGTATGCAATGGTACTGTTTTTACTATTCTGCCTAGCTGTTGCTCCAGAAATAAAAGATTGCCATCTACTGGACATTTGATTTAGTCTGCAGTTTGAAGGGCTACAGTCTCTCCATCGTACTCATATAGCTCCAAAAACTCAGGGGGAACTCTATCCCAGGGTGTTTATTCCACAGTTAGCAAATCCTATAGTTTCTTCAAATTGTCAGTGAATAGCAAACAAGCTTTAGGCAATCACCCCAAATAGTTTTGAGTTGGCAACAGCGACGAATACCTAGACATTTATTTTTTAATGGTATCCCAGATGAGACTTTGCTTTGGAGCACAAGGAAACACGCGCTGCATATATTTTACAGGAGGATGATGTGTGTTATCAGTATCACTGGGGAATTATCAGGTCCAGGAAATGGATATCAAAGGGTATCTGTAAGGAACCACATCTCTGGAACTGTACTTTCATTACAAAAACTACATTTACTCTAGCTACAGCACCAGCCTGCCCGGTAAAGAAAGACTGTCTAAGGAAAACAATAGTGAAAGAATGGTTTGATGAAACCCTAGTTTGTAAGAATTTCTTCTATTAAAGATTTTGTCTTACTAATAAAATGAACAACTGTGGATGTGAAAAAGAAGAGATGAGAAGTATTACAGGTTCAAATTACTTTCTTCCATGGGGCAGATAACTTTAATTAAAAATTCCTTAGAAGAAGAGCAACGTGAGAACCCTGTAAAAGTTCTTTTCTGTCATTAAGCCAAAAGCTACTAGTAAAGTCTTCAGCGGTACATACCCGTGCAGCTACTGTGCGGTATAAGATTTAGGCAGAAAAATAAGATTCTTACCTTGAAACTGCGGTTTAACTTCCCACGAATGTGATGCAAACCCGCCAAAGATGTATCCATCTGTGTCCTTTACGACCAGTAGGCAGGGGCCCTTATTTACAACATGGCCACATAGCTGTGAAAAACTTTCTCCGTGAAGCCTAGAAGAAAACAGAAGCCTCCATTTGTGCTGCAGCTCCGTTGGCAGATGGGAGTTGATATAAATAATGGATGGCATGTCAAGGAGACTAACAAATCCTTCTCCTTTGACGCCTTTGCATTTGGGAACCAAATTGACTAGGTCTTTGGCCTCGTCTGGAATTGAATGAAGAACAAGGAGCCCCAGCCTGATAACAATGCTGAGGAAAGTAGAGATCTGTGGCACTCGAAACACCCAGTCCTCAATGACACTTTGATCGCACGTGGCATCTTGTAGCTCAGCACCCACGAGACTCTCTCCACCTAGACACATATTAACACAAGTTAGTGGCAAAGCTGCTTTGGGCCTCAAGTCTATGTAATTCCTTAAGAAAACGTGTTTTTTCATCCAAGATCCAAAAATCAGTATTTCCAATATATTAACAATGCATGCTGACAGAGCAAAAGATAGCTGAAACTGTCAACCAGATCGAGTAAATATGCCCAGAAAGAAGGGCAGCAGCTGTGCGTAAAAGGTGGTAAGGAACCATGATGTCTTTATTATAACATAACAGATAGTAGGAAATGAGGGGTCTAATATTATGGCTTTAAAGAGAACCATAAAGGGATACAGATGCCCCAAAATGCCCTTCAAATATGAGGTAGGTGCTTGTACAATGTTTTACGAAACCTAGCCGTAAATCTGCAATTGGGACTGAACTGGGACTTCGAGGCCAAAAGCCACTGGAACTCCAAGAAGCAGCTTGTATGGGTAATTAAAAGTCCCAGATCTGATCTCAATCCTTAAGTCTTTGGTTTTTGATCTAAACTAAATCCAAGGCAGATATGGCTCAAGGAAACAGATCTCACAGGACGAGCGTATTTTGTGAGGTCTGTGCCACTTTTCAGTACATCATTTCAGTATGTTCAAGCTCACCTGCAGGTCTCAGTTCTGACAGCAGTTGAGAAGCCAAAGTCTTTACTCCGCTGGCAATATCTTGAGTCTTTTCCAGATCCCAGCCCTTCAGCTCCTTCCTGTAGTTCAGTACATGGACTGTAGCAGTGACCAGATGCTCTGTGAACTTAAAGGTGATTGTGATCCCATTACAAACTCCATATTAAAAAAAAAAAAAATCACCAAGAACCTCACCAAAGCACCCCAGACTCTTAGCAGCCAGGGCAACCATCAATACAGATGGCAGTAATCTGATTGAACAAGACACCTACTGCTGTACTTAAGTGTTAGAAGTATCGCCCATCTACATTACACCCTTCCCTCAAATGCTTTGTACACCTCTGCTCTCTCGACATTTTTGTAAGAGACAGCTCTTCTATATGGGCAACCTGTGGCAGAAATAAAGGGCTGTGTCATTTATAAGTAGCCCAAACGGGGCAGTGGCAGAGGAATTCTGCTCAGTTTTGCTCAGTTCTCCAGGGAGCAGGTGGGTTGTCCCCTCCTGACTGTTCTCCCATTGAGCCACTCCAGACCAGCACTGGGGAGAGCGGTATGGACAAGGAACAGTCACTGAGTTCTTCTAAGTCCAGCCACTGTCTCGCAAGAGGGCTACCCAATGGGCACAGCTCAAAAAAGGTAGCAGCGGAAAAGTCCACAGGCTCTCCTCCCCTTGGAACACCTGCCACACACACCTGGCCCCAAAATACACCCAAAATCAGAGCCAGTCCTAATTCTCTGTGCTGTGCTCTAACCACTACCTCCAAACAAATGTCTAGTTTTAAACAAAAGCCAATGAATTTCCCCTTCACCTCTTGGATCTGTTTCCCCGTCACAGGCCCTGCCGTCTCAGAGATCATTCCCATTATGATGCCACTCTTCTCATCCGCCAGGCCTTTTAAAAGGTATGACATAAACATTACGAACTGCTCTTTAACGATCTGTTCGCTTGGCCCAGCAGCCTTCCTAGGCAGGTTGACACTTCTCATTCCATTGAATAATCTGACGGTCATCTGCTCTGGTAATGCTTGTTGTGTGTAGGCCTGTCCAGGAAAGAAGCAAGAAGGACAGGTTTGAACTTGGAAGAAGAAGAATTCTATATAGAGTTAAAGCTATATCTGTGCCCGAGTGCAGTGGTTATGACCAACATCTAATAGATACGAATAGTGTGAAGCCTGTATTGAAGCACTTCTCCAAGACAATCCCCATCTTTAATCAATCATTTTATAGCATCCCCGGTTATAGCGTCCAGGCTTCCCGTAAGCTGTTGTTTGACTTTCAGGTAAAGGCCATGATAGTTTTACAACAACTCTGTTAGGACTGAATTTTGGAAGAGTTAAGAAGACACAAACCAAGGCTCTCCATAAGAAAACATGGATTCAGAGGTTTGCAGCTCAGGGGTCACCAGGCAAAATAGCAGAAACGTCACTCAAGCCTTTGCAGTAACACTGGTATAGAGGCAGGCGAAGTTCCTTTGCTGGATTAAATTTCATAGGTTTAGTTTGATTTCTAATGAAGCCAACGCAAACTCTGTATCTGCATCATAGCAGCCATTACACACGGCTGTAACCCATTCTCGCTGACATCAATTGTAAAACGCCCACTGATTTCACTGGGAGCAGAACCGGAAGCAAGTCTTAGACACAACAGTATATTGAGGGCAGAGCTGCTTTAGGAAAGCACCATAGGAGCCTGCAGTGAGGCAAGCTGCAGGAAACTCCTGTAAGCAGCTTACCTGATGACTTCAGAGCTGCATCACTGGCCCACATCTCTCTCTGTCATCACTACAACTACACTCTTCTGTCCTAGGAGATACAGGATGGCTTAGGAGGCTCATACATGAGACTAACACCTATCCTTAGCTTCACATTTCCTTTTTAAACAGGGTCTGAAGAGAACTAACTACACTAAAATGACAGCGGTCATTGTTCTCCTGAACAGATCCAAAATAGCAAGAGTTATATTATACCCCTCAGCCAGCAACCTATTATTTGTTTCATGGCAACAGCTGGAGCTCCCAAAGAGAGCAAAAGCTCTTATACCATCAGAGATTTTAAAGGGATTCAGGCAGATGGGAGCTTTTCTAAATCTCTCTAGGTCCCTACCTGCATCTTTAAGGACTTAAATAGCTTTAATAAAAAGAGCTGGCCTTTCTAATCTAAATAGATGGGAGAGAGAGACTAAGGGTGACAGGAATGTGACTGTCCAAGGCCACAGCAAGTTAGTGTCAAAGACAAGAAGGGAACCTAGGTCTTCAGGCCACCAGGTGTTAGATATTTAAAGATCTCATTGATTTACGAGTTAGATACCTTAATACTTTAAATATCTGGCCCTTCACCATGTTGCTGCTTTCCTTCAACTTTATTTCAATGATCCTATAGCATGGGATGCTTATATAAAAATATGCTCTTTGTATTGTCATAACTTACACATTTGCCTCCTGTCCCACTCAAGTTGTCAAGGATTACAAAAAAAAAATATTTTCCCCTCTTTTCTTGATTAGAAAATCAATGCAAAGCAAATCAATTTGGAATATATGTTAATGAGGTAAAACATACAGCCTTGGCTTCATCAAGCAAAATTAAATTTTCTCTCTTCTGGCCAAGTGTGAAGATTAGTGGCTGTGGGTGCGGTTGAAAGAGAACGATATGAGCAAACACGAATCTAATTATGTTACAACTCGCCAAGAATTTCTGTAAATTACAACACATCATAAATTGTGGGAAACTGCAACATTCTCTCCCTTGGAGGGTTTTGACAAAAGATATTTGCATATTTGAGTTACTTCATAATTGGACTTGATGTTGTTTATTCTGTTGAGTGCAATGCAAAAGGTAACGAGTACAAACACAGTGACAGTTAACCTTAAACTGCAAGAGAAAAATTATAAGGGCCTACAAATTCCAAACTGTGTCAAATAAGAGGCCCAGGCTCACCCAGTATCTGATCTGATGGGGCAAATAGCAGATGATTTAAAAGAACTATATTAGAAACAGGGCATGAGTAGAGTTATTCAATCCATCATACTCAGGGCTACATGCCTAATTGTTGTATTTAATAGCCCCTGATGGACCTATGCTCCATAAATCTAATCCCTTTCTGAACCTCCTTCTCCATACAGAAATATTTAATGTGATATTAAAATGTAATAATGTCCATAATTAACTGTCCACAAGTATGCATTTCTCCTCTAAAGTAATATTCTACACGTTACATTACAGACATATCACGATCGATAGATTTTTCTTGCCTTTAGCTTTGCCAGAGTCACAAATTTTCTGGTGGTTTTTTCATTCTTTACTCCTGCTGGACCATCCACCCCAGATAAGGTCTCAAATACTTTATCAATATCCGTCTGTTCTTCAGGAAGAAACCTGGAAAGATGATTCTGATAGGAGCTGCTTTCTGCGTTGCCCATCTTTCCAGGAAGGTGATGGAGTCCTGCGATGGAACAAAGAAAGAGAAAAAAGATGAATAAAAGCATGAAAAGATTGATTTAGGGGAGAGGAAGGGAGAACCAATCCCCGCTTCCTCCCCTGCCCCCAAAACACACCCACACCTTGGTAATAAAAGAAAGAATTCCTGACCTACAGGCACAAATTTTGCAAGTCGAAATAATTAAATCACACACAAAGTACTGCAAGCACAGCAAAAATAGAGATTGAATGCACTCAAAGGAAACAATACGAACATTAAATAGTATTAAAACACCTAATGTGTTCTTTAAACCACACACGCTACGCCCACCCGCCCTTTCTACCAACACACGCGTCACTCAAGGCTCATCAAATGGAAAAACCGATAAGATCTGACAACTAAATTAGTTTATACAGAGTTAATGTAAAAATGTCAGTTGGAATACATCAGGAGAGGCAAACCAATTAGGTTGTTTCTTTCTGATGTTTCTTTCTGATGGACTGAAGCCAACCTCTGCCATTAGCGCTTAGGAGCAAAACTGTACCTGCCAGAGGCAAGGAGTCAATAATGCAGAACAGGTGAAAACTCTTTCCATACACCGAATTTGTGCACCAAATTTGCAAGGTTTCTAGGATGAGACTCGTCCCTGTCATTTTCAGTAAATTGCAACTGAATTGCAGACTGTCCACAATTTACTACAAATGAGTCAGTCTGATGGCTGCTAGTAGAAGCTTTGGAAATGAGGGGAGATAAGAGCTATAAAAGTGACTAGCTCAGATCGGTGTCAGGGTTTCTAATAGCAACCCTGTGACAGCTCTTCCCCGTCACCATTTCTGTCTAGTTAGCAAAGATGTCACGAAGCAGACAGTGGGGCTGAAAGACACCGGGTACTTAAACAGCTTGTGTACTTCAGTGATATGCAGATAGCTACAATAGAAACTATCAGTAACAAGCGGGGACCACTGTTGTGTTTATGGTGTTAAATATTTCACTGATCCAGTAGTGCACGTAGGTGGAGCACACCGTGCTCAGCTGCCTCCACGGCCCTTCAGGTGCGCGTAGGGACGTCTTCACGGCTGGACAAACTGTACCAGCGGAGTGACTCAGAGCAGACAGAAGGGCAAAGACAGCGCAGAGCCACCTTTCCTGTTCCTCCACTGCGCTTGGGGCTGAGCATGTCTCAACCAGCAGAGAATTGCACCCTGCATGGTTTAAAGATTACACGAACTTCCACTTCCTTTCTATTGTGCTAATAGTGAATTAACTTTCCCCCCTTGGTTGGCAGGTGGCACCTCTCCTCCCTGGGGGTTTTTTTTTTTTTCTTCTTTTTAAAAGGTTGCCACCAACATTTCCTGCTTTCCCTGGCGGTTCGGATTCAGCCCCCATCTCCTGCCCTTTTCACCCCGAGATGGAGAAATCAGAGAAAGTCAGGATGTGTTCAAATCAGCAAGTTTAACCGGAGAGTTTAACCCTTCCCTGCCTCCCCCAAATCCCTACGAGCACCATGGCCGTGCCACGGGGAGATGCGAACCGAAGCCCAAGCCACTCCAGACTGGATTTCTCTCCGTGGCCCCAAGTCCTGGGACCTCCTGGCCAGTAAGTTGTTAAGCTGGTGAGCCGCCTCACCAGGAAGGTCAGGCGGCTCACCAGCCCCACATCTGTTCATGGCGAAGAACAGCAGGGGTGGGCAACTGCCAGCCAGCCTCCGTTTCCCAGCAGCCCCTGCCAGCATGGCTGGGGCTGGTTTCCACGGAGAACACAGCAGCAGCCGCACGGTGATACTGCAGGGGATGGGGTTTCCATGGAGACCGGCCCCAGCCGTGCTGGCAGGGCGCACGGCAAGGCAGGGAGCTGCTCCGGGGCATAGACAGGTTAACACCCAGGCCAGGACTCGCCAGTGGTCCCAGCACTGCCGGGTCCCAGCTTGGCCGCGATCCCGTGCGTTGGCCGCCTGCCGCGGCAGCCAGACGGAGCCGTGATGGGGCGAGGGGTGCCCCCGAAACTCGGTCACGAGCATGGAGGTTCGCTCAGGGGCCTGGTCCGGAGGTTGGAGCCGATGGTTGGGGGCCCCGGCCCCGGGGCTTGGATAAGAGCCAGCAATGCCGCCCCCAGGCGGGCATGTGACCCGCCCTCGGCTTGCACGGACATGAATATTAACACCCTGCTCATACATATTCATGACCCCTCCCTCTCGCCCAAGCCACGTGACATCAGTGGCCAGCAGCAAGCCACGAGTAGGAATATCCAGCATCTAATTAATACGTGGAAAGAGACACGCCCCCTCATTAATATTTATAGCCACGGTGAAGTCATACGGTAAATCGCAAACACACATGCATCACTATTCATTATTCATAATTAGATTAACAGTAACAATATGAATTGCCCGCTCATTAATTTGAATCAATCATAAATATTCATAAGCAATGGCACCCTTGATTTGTATCACGTGGCCACGCCCGCTTTTCATTATTACAATGAGGATGTTTGGCCACGCCCATTTTGCCACTACCAATGAGGCTCCTTGGTGGCCACGCCCATCTCATATCAATGAGATTCCTTGATGGGTGGCCACGCCCATCTCATGAATATCAATAACGCGCCTTGGTGGTTGGCCACGCCTGTCTCCTGAATATCAACGGTAGTCCTCGGTGATCACGGCCGCATCTTATTAATATGCATGATGCCACTCTCGGACCACGCCCACCCCTCGTTAATAGCCCTGAGGCCGCGCAACCAGCACCTCTCCCCGGTGTTTAATATTCATGAGGCCACGCCCCCTCCCGTGACTCACCGCCCTCGCGCGCGACCCCGGCGGACCCGCCGCTCTCGCTGGTTCCCCACCGCGGGCCGCAACGCCGAGCGCCCCACCC